GTTGTGTTCTGTATAAGTCTGGGTTTTTAACGTTGATAATAGTATTTTGGGATGAGGTTTGTTTAGAAACCAGTATGTACCAGTTTTTGACATGGTAAATCGTGTAATTTAGTGATTTTTCCCCTTTTTTCTCCTATTCTCTGGATTTGTTAGCAACGCATTAAAAGTATAATTAAACTGGCTATTCAGTTCAGAGCAGGAAAACAATCATGTTTCTCGAGGCTCTTGGCATTTATCCTTGAAAGTCAATGAGCAACAGCTCTGTTAATGGAAATCCTCGATGCTAATGCTTCAACCGCAACTTAACAGCTATGAAAAAACAACCCTGAACACTGTACAGAAATGACAGGAAGTAAAAGGTCATCACAGAAACACAGAAATGTTTCCATTGTCTCTGGAAACTTATGAAACAAAGCCTTAACCGTACAGGCAGCCATCAGAACAAACAACGCCTACTATTTATTTTTTATTGTTTGCTTCAGACTTCTAACCCTGACTCCAGATGCTAATTATTGTTTTTTAACCAAAGTTACACCTGCTTTAACATTGTATTAAAAATTCAGCATTTAATTGCAAAATCTCCGGCAACTTCACACCTTTGTAGGATATAATTATACACTTTAAAATGTCAGAATAATTAGTAAAAATACAACATGTGTAACACCATAAATCATACAGGAAATTAGGTAACAGATTCAACATCATTATTATTTACAGATATAAATTGGTATTTATTTTAATTTCCTTACGTTGACGTGTTTCACTTTGACTCGAGTAACGGTACCGCTCTGGTACTGTTGAGAATCATACGCCGACACTGTTGCCTGTCAGTTTGGCAGCTTTCCAAGAAGACGTAGGAGTGTGAAGGCTGGCAAATTAAACCTACTTATTATTGCAGCTGCTTTGCACTTAACGTCCAGTCTCTTCATTACAGTGTAAACTCTCATTTACTGTAGCAGCTGAGGCCCAACAGAGATTGTAATTTGTGTGTACTAGGAAAAGAAAAGAAAAACCTCAAAACTACTCTGATACCTGTGGACATCAGACATAAGTCATTACCATATTTTCTGGACTATAAGTTCTGGACGCAGTTGTTTCATTCTTTGGCTGGTTCATGACTTACTGGGTATTTTTTAAATATATAATTTCACGTTTGTTATTTTCAGACTCACAGCCGCTAGAGGGCACTCTAGACTTGTGTACCAGTATATCCTACCCATGTATTACTAAAAATTTTTACACTAACAGCGGCTAGAGGGCACTGGTGCGACTTATACTTCGGAGCGATAGTCTAGAAAATACGGCACTCGCTGTGTGAAGTTTATACTGAAGAGCATGTGAGGAAGTTAATGATCAAATCCCGATTTGATTGCATGTCACTTTTCCATATGTTAATGACTGAGTTATTTTTTTTTTCCATATTTTAAATAATAGCATTCAAGACAGAAATCAAATATAGACGTCGTTGTTGCAATTTGGATTTTTTTTTTCATTATTCTGGGCTGCAGAGAAAAGCAAAACAATCCAAGTAATTATATCCGTCACTGACACCGTCATCATCACTGACACCGGCTTCACTGGCATTGACCCTGAGCACATTGGTGATTGAAAGTTCGTTTAAATAATTAACCAAAATTGAGGGCCATTATGTGTTCATTATTATATTGATGGAACAGGAACCAGTGCTTTTGTTTGTACAGTATAATGAGTTACGGGGACATTTATTTGCAAAAACGAAATCCATTTAACAGTACTATTTCATGTACTGTAGTATGTAGAGTGTGGTTTTACTTTTTGAAAAAAAAAACACAGCCTCAACTCATTAACCATGTTCGTGCGCCTGCTCATTAACATCTACACTGTAAATATGCCCGTAGTAAAAACGCGATAGCTGAACCAAACATTTCAGCCCTGTATGCTCTGCCCTGAAGGATGCCACGATTTCACCCACTTCTACCGCCTCCAGCAGAGACCTTTTTAGCCCAAAAAGAACCTCCCCAGTATATCATCTTAGCTCCCGCTCCCTGCGGTAAAAACACACATAGTTCCCAGTAAAGCCCCTAGTTACTGAGAATAGTTCCTGCGGTGGAAAGGCACGTCGGAAAAAGTTGCAGTGTTCTGCTCCTGTGCTTTGTGGTTTGATGTCTTACTCCTGCTCAGGAGGGCTTGGTCTCATAAAAGTGGAAAGGGACAACTCTCGGAGTCGCAGTCTTGAGCTCAGCACATTTACTTATTCCCTGGGAGATCATCTACGTGCTCCGAATCCTTTTCTTTTTCTCTCTCCACCTGTCTCACATGCTCTCACATTTTCACTTTTTTTCAAGCACCCAAGGGTCTTTCTTCCATTTGTTCATCCTCTTTTATATTCTACACAGTGTGCTCTGTGTGTGTGTCTTTTTTCCCTTTCTTTCTTTTTTTTTTTTCATGCACCAAATTTTTTTCTGCCATTTAAATCCTCCCTTTCTGCCTTAACTACTTTCTTCTAATATTGCTACCTCTTCTGTTGGTTTTCTTTCTTGAACTCTCTCTTAAACTTTTCCATTGTTACACCTCAGCAGTGTTACCATATTATAAAGTACTGAATGGACACCTCAGCAGTGTTACCATATTATAATAATATATAATATAAAAGCCCTAACATTACATTTCATATTAAATGCAAATGATCTTCATTTTATGTTTTTTTATGTTTGGATATTGGCTTACAACCTAAAGTAAAAGTCAACTGAATTTCTTCGTCTGCTCAGGATAAAGCGAAACCCTTCATTTGGTGACAGGCTCTTAGAGTGACGGTGTCACATCAGTCGTCAGTCATTGTCAGATTAACACACACGGCTGCTCATCTGACCATGTGGTTGTCAGCATCTGACCTGCCGTTGAAATGACTGCTCCGCTGAATTATAATTCCGTTGGATCCGCCGTAGCGCTGAACCCAAGGTACTGGGAAAAAATATATATATACGGCACAGTCATATCAAGCTGTCTCCGTGAGTACACCTGTCGCCTGGAGAGTGATTTGTAATTCATCTGTAAATGTCATATATACATTTTAATTTACAACAATTCCTTTTTTTAAATATCAAGTCATATTTTCTGAATATCTGTCAGTATTGAGACATATTTAACATTTATTTTTAATTTTTATTTATTTATTTACCTTTTCTGTTTTTGTCTCTTTTGGTTCTGGAATAAAATAATGTCAATTTTGTCAATTTATAACACCTTAGCACGACGTCCATTTCGGCTCAGTTCTGAAGACAATAAAACCAGTTTCATTGTTTGATTTTGACTAGAAGGGTCCGTAGTCATCGCCTCTAAAAGAGACGGCTGCTGCAAATGGATATTTGCGTCTCCACGTTAAAGACAGACTACAGCCCCAAGTTCCCAAGACAATGGTTAGTGCTGCGCCCGTAAATAGACATTTTCAGTTGTTGTGACACGCACAGCAATTAATTAAAGCAGCTCACTTGTTTACAACGAGATGATTAAATGCTGCAACAATTAGCCCCATTTTATGCTGCATCACATGGCGTGTTTTACCCAAGATTCAAGCTTAACTGTGTTGGCTATCAAACCAATGATGAAGAAACTACGCAGGAGTTTTTTGGATGCTGACCTCGGTGCAAAATGGTCTAGCGGTTAGCAGGCCTTCCTCTGAAGCAGAGAGCTTTGGGTTTGATTCCCAGAGGAATCACATACATAGCCTGGTCCATCGGATCTGCTGTTAACGCAAGAAATACCAGAATATGAGATCAATAAAGTTCAATTTATCAATTATTAAATTACCCAGTGCTAACTGCTGGCCTCCCTCTGTGAAGTTTGTGTTTTCTCCCTGTTTGGATTTTTTTGCCCCGCAAAAGTGTGCCCCGCATTGCCCGATGACTGCTGGGATGGGCTCTAACTGTAACTAAGAATAAAAAAATAAAATAAGATTTGATTCGAAGAAAATGTCGATAGTGATACATTTATAAATATTTCAGTGAGAAAATACATGTGACATATATATATATCTATATGAAGACATATATCAGTTCCTCTCTGCTCTTTTCCAGCTCTCACCAGGTCGTTTTTGGCGTAACCTCTGTCAATCATAAAAGGTCAGGATGTTACGGCCGTTACTCGTGTGACCAGTTATTTACACGGTGTTCCACTTGTTAAAGCGCCCAGTCGGATTCCTCTCAGGTGTCGGTGCTTTATTTCATACTGAACCCTGTGTATCCTGTACCTGTTACGATGTTGACCCGGGGGTCACGAGGCGACATATATCTGCGGCGCTAACGTGCCTGAGTTTTTAAAAGCGCATAATATCTCTTTGCTACAGTCGTACTTATCATGACCAGTTTTTATAGCCACCTTTAAATAATTTAAGAGGAACACAGCACTGGAGGTGCGAAGGGAGAAACCGAAAAGAGACATGAGACGGAGATAAAAGATTTAGACGCCGTTGTAATGTTGTAAAGTTGTAAAGGTCATGAGGTAGATTTAGTAGAACAATCCCACAGAACATGCTGGAGCAGCCTCTCTCTCTCTCTCTCTCTCTCAAAGTGAAATTATTACAATGTTGAGTAAATATGTTTGATCTGAAAAAACTTGTTCTGTACATGCGATGCCTTCAATGACAACGTAGCAAGAAGTGGAATTTACGGCGCTTGAAAGAATCCGTGTAAGATGATCCTCAATTTGCCGTGAAGGTGAATGGCCATTTCAATGCACGACACATCACTTTAATGAGAAGGATGATATTTGGGTGGTGACTCTATGTGTCCTCTGACATCCAGGCTTCTTCACGGGGAACATCGTTCACTCCTGCATCCCTGTTTATTTTCCCCGGTCCGCTAATAATAAAATGGTTGTTTCCTCTACATAAGCACGATCACTGATTTGGGACGTGTTCCTCCACCTCGTGTCATGTTCTTTTTTTTCATTAATACTGTTTTGGCTGTCATTTCATTGGCTGCCTCAAATACCAATCAACTTCCTTAATTTTCTCATTTGAACAGAGGTTGTCCAGCTGACCCTGGCGGAGGACCAAAGGATCAGCACCTCCACCGTAACGGTGGGTCTGAGTGCTGTTCTTACCTGTGCCATTCAGGGAACGCTGCGTCCCCCCATCATCTGGAAAAGGAATGGCATCATATTAAACTTCTTGGACCTTGAAGATATCAACGTGAGTAGATTTTTTTTTTTTTTAAACCTACTGATTGCTTCTGAGATTTTAACGGGGGAGGTTGCATGACGTTGACCTGCAGCGTAGCCATCATCTGTAAGTTATATCACTGTTGAAACACTGTTAAAACAAATGAATGGATTTTTTTTTTATTTACATATCAATCATCTCCTTTTTAAAAGAAACAAGTCATTCTCAGTGATGATTAGAACTCGTGCCACTGCTCCATGCTTAACAAATTTTCCAACCAACTCGATATCATGTCGTAAAAAAAAGTGATTTTAGAGCTCATTAGTATTTTATTTTTACTTTTTTGACTAAGATTAGTTCTACTTTTAAAATACTGCTAGGTTGGCATTCTTTTTCAAAGAGGTTCAAGAATAGAAGATAACTGATTAAAAAGAAAAAAAAATCTTTTTGTTCTTTAATAACACCCTGGTATTTAATAAGGCAAAAGACGACAGGACTTCTGAGGAGTAAAAAAAAAAAAAAGATTATTAAAGGAAGTAAATTAAAGACAAATCTCCCCCACAGCCTTCTTCATCAAATGGCAAAATCTAGGTTTGCCAAGTGCCTAATGAACTGTGTGGCCATGCTGCACTGTGGCTCCTGCACAGGTGACAGCAGCGCCTTGCCCTTGCTTTACACAACACTGGATCACAATTCACTAATTGCCTGTTAATGAGCTGCCTTGTTGGTCCGCTGCCATGATGAGCCGATAAACAATGTCAAGAGTTAAGGTGGAGATCGGGGCAGAGGTAATGGCAGCAGAGGTCCTTCAGGCTCTTGACCGAACATAATGGATTTCCACAGAACACCGTGAGCACCAGAGTGGAACCCCTCCTGTTTTTTAAATTTTCATTTCATTGATTTGGCTCAAAAAGAAAAAGTACTCAAGCTATGAGGGTTTTTTTTTTGTCTTGTCGACTGTCTTCCTCTCGGGAAATAACATTACAACGATTTCTGTGTATGTGAGGGGAAAAGACTTATGGCACATTTCCTAAAATATTCAGCGTTTTGAAATATTTAGCCACATGTATCCTTGTAGTGTTCTACTAAAGAATAAATACACTATGAATAAAATAAAAATACATTTTAAAATAATATAAAAAATGGCTGTGGAAAAAATCGTTGTGCGCTAATGTCGTAAAGCCACGCCATAAATAGAAAAATAGGAAGTTACAGTAGGGTGGTTGTACGGGTGCAGAGGGCACGACAGTGGGGAAGGGCGGGGGTCATGAACCCCATGCCCACATGTCCTCCATGAGATAAAACCATATATATAACATGTTTGTGTGCTAATGCTAATGATGCGTTCAAATTGTACACGGATGTCAGAATTTCCACGGTTAAACTTAAGCACGTACCGTACATATACTGGCGCGAGTACCTGAATAAGTACTCTTATAAAAATATAAAATACATAAATATATATGAAACTATAGCAATATATATGTGTGTAGCTGTTAAAATTATTATGGATATTATATAGTGGTACATTTTTCAGGTTGCTGATAGGTCAGTTCCCCCAGTCCATAAATCCCATCTGCCCCCCTGGGTGGGTGATATGGGTTGCCAAACCATAAGCTCGACTAGGGCGACAAACTGCTGTGAGTGTCCCTGTCCCTAGAACCTGTCACCTGTGCAGATGCCCTGGAAACAAGCCCACTACTGCCCTGGCCAAAAACGAAGCAGCAGCTTGGCTACCCCACAGAGCCTGGCACAGTTGTCGGCAGGATGGTTTCTTAAATAAAAAAAAATAAAAAAATGAAAATCTTGCAGATTCAGTTTTCAGTTTTCCTCATTTTTCTATTTTTTATATATATATCAAATCTGACAGGTTTGGTTTCCGCCCCCTAGGTTTCAATAACCATCAGTGTTCCAGTGAATTCCGAGCTTGAAACACTTCCCTCGTTTATCTCACCCAAAAATCATTCCACATTTGTCAAGTCACAACCGCCCTGTGTCAGGTCACATCCATTCCTACAGTCCTTAAGAAACCTTTTTCGTGGTTTCAAACCTTCCCTGTCGCGCTGCGGCCACATCAGGATATCTGCTCTGCCACTTGATAGGACAGCAAACTATTTAATGCCTTAATCCACCGTAAGCCGCGACGGGAACCCTCTTGTGACTGTTGCATTCGGCACCAACAACAACCTGCTCCATTCATCAACCTAATGGGCTTTATATTTTTAACCCTTGCCATTTATCAGGCTGAGGCAGCGTGATGAGGAGAGAGAGCTGGATCGAATTCCCAAATGCCTGCTGCAGCTCAACAGGGAGACCACTGATTCATGGTCTCACTTCCTTTTCAAATCACTCTCCCCCCCCACTCCTTGTCCCTTCCCATCACTCCCTGCTGTCGCGTGCCTCCTCCCTCCTCACCCTCTTCCATCCACACGCCCTCATGTATTCTGTCAGGCTTCTTCCATTCCTCCATCCTTCCCTGTGGCTCCATCCTTCGGCGCCATCATTTAGCACCTACCTGTTCATTTTCCAATCTCCACCTTTTTTTGCTCCCACCCTCCCTCGTCTTACTTCTCTATTGTGGTCCTTCACAGCTGCCATTTCCACGTTCTTTACCTTATTTAATTCCACTTTTTCTCCCCCCCTCCTTGCCTTGCAGGACTTTGGGGATGACGGCTCCTTGTACATTACCAAGGTGACAACCATCCATATGGGAAACTACAGTTGCCATGCCTACGGCTATGAAGACGTCTATCAGACACATGTGCTGCAGGTGAATGGTCAGTAATGGCTGTTTCCTACCTAAAGTTGTGTATGAGGTGTGAACATAATAGTAGTGTATTATCTGGGTCACATGTTTACAGTGTTTACAGTACTTCTGTGACGTGATTAGAAAAATATTTAATATTCAGAAAAAAGTATTTACAATACATTGATTGATTGTTTTTAAAATTGTTGAAGTATTTACAATACATTGATTGATTGTCTCTTAAATGGTTTTAAAATTGTTGTTTTTTCTTTTTTTTTTTAATAAAACTTAGGTTCAGCCAGACCAGTACAATCACAACATAATTACCTATAAATAACAATAAGTCCATGTTTTTAACCTTTGTTTATGATTTATTCATATTCCATATATTTCATATATTTATATGTAATTAAATATAACTTGACAAAACATCCCTGTCATAACGATTCCATAACCTACTGGCTGATAAACCACAGCAGGTGTAACCAAAGCGCATCACTTTAGCCACTGGAGCCATGACTCGAGTACTAACAGCTTACGTGTGGGGGCATTTTGAATTCAATAAGTAAGCAGCAGATGTGGGGACACAGTATGCGCCGCCATGTTTCTCAATTTCACATGAAGTTTGGAAACTAAAAGGCTCCTGTTGCTTCACAATTCTCCTATCAATGTTCGCAATGTATCAAGGTTTCGAGCCGAACGATGGTTCCATTTATTTTTTGTATCTTTTTTTTTTTGCGAGTGGTTCATCATCTCAAGACCAAAATATTGGCGTTTATAAGAGTTTGAAGTACGGCTGGAAAAAGTCTATATGTTCAGAAATATCTTACAAAGTACACAGCGTTGTTGTAGAGCAGTGGTGTCAAACATACGGCCTGCGGGCCGAAACCGGCGCGCGTTATGAATTTTGAAAGTGAAATGTGAAATGATTTGTCAAATTCTACTTCATTAAATTTGAAGATTTTCTTTAAGGTTATTTAAATGTAAACAAGGGAGAAAACATGGACTTTTATATGTAATTATGTTCTGATTGTACTGGTCTGGTGTCACCTGACATCTAATCAGGCTGAATGTGTCCCCTGAACCAAACTGAGTTTGTTGTAGAAGCTTCAAAAATTATTGTTTTTAAGGTATTACTGCACAGATGTGACTGTTAAACTGTAGCGAGAAAATCCTTTCACCAAACTAAGCAACCGGTGAGGCAGAGCCCTGGTGACTTTGAGTGAGAGTGGATTTTTCCTTGAACTCAATGGTCACTCTGGCTGAGCACCACAGGTCCTTACAGAGATGAAGGAAACATCCGCAAGGACAACCGACCGTCGTCGTCTCCTCTGACAGAAACCGGGGCTCACCAGAATTATCACCTGGTTCAAGGTCACTTTGTTTTCAGGGCAATTTTTTTTCAGGTGCAGCTGTGTTGATAGTTTTGGTCGCCCCACAGTTTTCTGTTTGAGACTAATTCCCTGGAATATTTAAAATCATAAAGAAAATCAATATATCTTCAGCAACATGACAAAGTTAAATTAAAGCAACTTGAGCTGAGACACTGCACTCACATTGCTTTTGGCAAGGCTGCACTTTATTTGCAGCCCTGCCTTTCACATTTGATTAAAACTCGTCTCTTCAACCTTTCCTTTTTCAGCCCTGCCTTTCACATTTGATTAAAACCCCTGTCTCTTCAACCTTTCCTTTTTTTTTTTTTTTTCTTCGTTTCTGCTGACTGCAAAAAATCTGCCTTTAAAACACCGGCGTCTCTGTCCTATCTATTAATTTTTTTGTCTTATTTGTCACAGTTTGATTACTTACGTAAAGGGGAAGAAGTGATTAACACGGTTATGTTTAATTAGGAGGCACAACGGCTGTGTTTGTTTTGTTTCCTGGTTGTAATTGAAAACGAATGTCGCTGCATTTTCAGCGCAAAAACAAACCAGAGCGAAGTCATTGAGACCCACGGGGTCCTGAGGGGTGAGTTATCAGGAGGGCGCAGTTACCGGATGTTTGTGCTGGGGATTGGAGGCAAAACAGCACAGGGTGAGATAAGGTGAAATGAAGGGGAGCCAAGTGTCACATAAAACTTAAGGGTGGTAAAAAATACTAGCATGCCTCCTCTTAGGCTCTGAGAGCAGTAACACCCTGGTTTCTTTCTGTGCTGAGAGGTGTTGTGGCTTTAGTTTCAGGAAGGCTGTGACTGTGACTACTTTAGTTTCTGAATTAAAACAAAAAACAAACAAGACTTGGAAAAAATAAATTCAGGTTAATTTGCGTTGGTTTGCGTTGAGGGAAAGTTCATTTGAAGTTTACTGTAGTCTCCAGGTTAGCCTCCACTAGTTTACCAGGTTGTGTAAAATGTTACCTCATTTTTCACATTTTTTAGTTCCTCCCCGGTGTAGGTGTGAGGGGGCTGGACTCTTTCGCCGTCTCTCACGTACGGGATTCAAACTGTAAGAAAGACGCCGGAGATCCCTTGGATTCTTGTTAAGTTTGAATATATTACATGCAGAGTGGGAGATATTCTCCCGTCCACGTTCCATGTGTGGGCTTTTGTGCTCAAGTCCTCCGGGGGATTACAGTCAAGCATGAAACCGTGTATAATTATAACTTCACTTCATTTTTGTTTTCTCTCTCTGTTTCTGTTTGTGTGTCCAGTTCCTCCAGTGATCCTGGTCTATCCGGAGACGCAGGCTCAAGAACCCGGTGTGTCTGCCAGTCTTCACTGCCATGCCGACGGCATCCCAAATCCGAAACTCCTGTGGCTGAAGAATGGCATGGACTTACAGCCGAGATCCAGCAAACAGCTCTCTCTCATAGGTGAGGAGTTTTGAAGTTGTGCTGTTGTTCGCCAACACAAACTGCTGCAGACTTTAAGGCAACTTGTCAGCAGTGATATTGATTATTGAGCTCTGATCTACACCGGTGGAATGAAGCCCGACTTAAACGTGTTTTCTTCCTTAGTCCTGGGTTTTTATTCCTCCGGAAAAATAATCCAACAATTTAGGAGTGATTTAAAGGAAGATTAAAAGTACGAAATTAAATCAGGGATACTGCGTGCCAGATGATGACAGCTACTTCCTCACAATATAAGGGTGTCTTAAAGGACCCACTCTGAGTGTCAGAGAAAAAGGAGCAGAATGGAAGGCGACTTCTTTCTTTTTTTTTTTATGGCCTGCTTCTCATTAAAGGAGAGTTTATTGGCTGTGTGCGGATCATTACCTGTGGTAATAGCCCTCACACATTCAAACAAGGGAGGTTCTGTAAGGTTCACCAACACATAAACACTGCATTGGCTAAGGTTTTAAATTTGTGAACTAATGTGGAAAATGACAATAGACGGTAAAATCATTTTATTCTATTAGACAGTACGAGCGTTTTTACTTTGGGCGAAACTTAATTAAGGAGCGTAGATTGTAATGTCTGTCTAGATATTGTAAAAAAAAAAAAAAATCATAGCACAGGCTGTACACCAGAACAGGCTTTGGTCGAACAATATTTAGTTTACAGCACCGGTGGAACTGTCCGTGGTGCTGAAACCCGACACCACAAACCCCAGTGTTGGAGTGCTTCCATAAATTGTATAAAAAGATACAAATATGTCACATGAAACCAAGATACCATTAGGATCTCCCTTTAAATATATATATAACTAACAAAAAATGCTAATATTGTTTTTTTATTTGTATATATATTCACCAATTGGATCGTGTCTGCTGTTAATCGAGTCTCAAGGTCTGCGTGTGTTGCTGTTTATTATATGATTTCACTTTTTCATTTGTTTTTTGGTTGCCTTGGCAATCCCATAAAGCAGATACAGTTAAGAAAAGCACTTAAACGCACCGCCTTCAGCTTCTTATTAGCAGCACGTATTATAAACGTGCTGTTTACTTTGTTAATCAAATGTTAAATCGACTGCTTCCTTTGTTTATTTCTATTTAATCCCTGCTCAATACGTCCAAAGAGATGTTTCAAACGCTGCACTAGCGGTTTGACATTTCACTAGCGGTTTTACTTCATTAACATTTAGCTGCCACTTCAGTTTGCTCCCTTACAAAATACTGGTGGTGGGCAGGTCATTCGCACGAGGACTTTTACGGAGTGCTGCAATAAAACTCAGACCTAGGACCCAAAACTTAAACACTGACCTTTAATCCTTCTAAAACATAAAGTGAACTTCACATTTATTATTGCAGTGGACTCTTCAGAGTCCAAGACCCCGTTTATTTCATTATCACCCTGCGAATAGCAACAGTTCAAGACGGCGGCGGCGGCTAATCCGATGTTGGTCAGTTAGGCTGCAGTAAATGAAAACTGATCTGAGCTTAAAATATTAAATTAAAGCAATTAAAGTGCTGTCTGATACTGTAGTTACATCAAGGCTGTGTTTTACTTCAAAGCACTGCAGAAACTTTTCTGCTGATGAAAGGGAATCATTTTATCTCGGTCTTCGAGATGTTTCACCAGAACCAGAATCTGTGTGTTCACTTGCGTGAAGCCTTGTTTCTTCTCATCCCATTAGATCATATTAAGCACAGTCCACTTCGCTGCTGCGTGCTAAATATTTCACCCCACCAGCGGTAGGTTTTTTTGACTGTAAATTGCGTGAGAAGTGGATTTTGTAGAGGTGGTGCACTCTTACTGTACTCAAAGGGACGTACAGAAAGAGATGAAATCCAAATCCTTCTTTCATGTTGCTTTCAAACGCGGCCCGTAAAAGCTCCACTCTGACACATTTTTCACTCTTGCCACGCCATAAAGCCAGTCCTGTTGTGATGTATGTATGCGCTGCTTCACGGAGGATCAGAGTGCAGCTGTACATCAGAGCTTGATGCAAGAGTAAACAACAGAGTTTTCTTCTGATGGTGACTCCTGTCTCACCAAGCCTAAAATCACCTGTCACTTCCATCTGACACCGCAGCCCGTCCTGAAACAAACACCGCCGCACATCGTGCAGTGTGTGGATTTGAAATTGTGGAACTGAAAGAACTTTTACACAACAAGACTTTTTTAACGCCTTGTTTATTTTCCCAACTTTGTTAAAGAATTAAGTAATGACCTTCTTTTCCTAGGATAAAAAAAATGAAAATTATACAGGAAGTTATGTGGAGCCATACCCTTACCCATAACCTATTTAAGTTATGAATACATACATACATACATACATATATAAATATATGTGTATACATACACATACATACATACATTCATATATATTTTTATAATTTTTACTAAAACATTCAATTTGTATACTTTGGTTGTATATCTTTCATATATTTTATATATATATATATAAATACATATATAATATATATATAAATATACATTTATATGTATTTAATATAAATAAAACATATTATTGGTATAGGTAAATATGCATTTTTTTCCTGCTATTCTACTTGTTCTTTTGGTTTTTACAAAGCAACAGTTAACAGTTGAGACGTTTCACCTCCACTTCCTGTTCGTGTCTTGTAGCTAATGGCAGTGAGCTCCTCATCGGTAGCGTTCGGTACGAGGACACCGGCGCCTACACGTGCATAGCCAAGAACGAGGTGGGAGTTGATGAGGACATTTCCTCGCTGTTTGTGGAAGACTCGGCCAAGAAAACACGTACGTCTTGTGATGCCAATTGCTTTAAGCCGTTTTCCTCCAATAGAAACACTGTTTTAGTTTGGTTGTTTAGAAGTTTTAGAAGTTTAGTTGTTCTTCAAATATTTTGTGTTAGTTTATCATATTTTAAATTAAAAAAATTAATCTTTTAATTAGTTTATCATATTTTAAATTAAAAAAAATTAATATTTTTTAAAAAAAAATCTTAATTCCATATTTTAATATATTAAGTTAAAAAAAGTTTTATTACTGATATATTTCATTTGAATTTTTTCTCTCTGTCTTTTCGTCTCAGTGGCCAACATCCTCTGGAGGGAAGAAGGTAACACATCACTATCTTCACAGTGCTATTGTATTTGTACAAATAAAAAATATATATCACAGGATGTGTAGTGGCTCTGCGGGGCCTACGCAGCTCACCTTGGGTGCTGCGTCGTCCAGAGGAAACACACCGGTTTTCTCTCTTTTACGCTCTAGTTTCTTCTTTTTCTTGTGTATTTTTCTTTTTTTATCTGTGTTTTTAGTTCACCCATGTCTGGTGTGGACATTTACACACTGGGCAGAGTTTTATATACTGCAGTATTTTGGGAATAAAACCGTTGTTTTCCAGCGGTGAAAAGAGAATATAGCTGTGTTTCCCAGCACAGTGTCACCTACGGTATACATTTACACTGTTTTATACATGAAAAACAGTACAGCGTTGTACAGCCACTCCTGGGGTTTTATTACAGCTAGTTAACATGTGCTGAGGTTTACTGTGTAATGCAGTCTGTTTTATAGACGCATCTGTTCACTGTGTGTCTGTTTGACCAAACACATTTATCAGCTGCTGGTTGTCCATTAAACCGTGCCCCGGAATATGCATCTGACCCACACGCTGAGTAGATTGTGAGCTGAACACATAAAAATGAGACTATTTTTGTTTCGATGCCAAAAATGATCTTGTTGATCTGATACATTTTCCACATGTGGATGTTTGTAGTATATTTCTATACAGGTGAGGGTACAACACACATTTATAAAAGTGCAATACAATGTTCCTCTATCTCACACATGATGGAGCCTCAGTGTTACTCCGTCAGCTCATCATCAGCAGCGTCTGTTCACGCCGCGAAGACAGGACGTCTCCTCGTCGAGACACGAGGTCTTGATTTTGAAGCCTCTTGCTGCAGCTCGTTGCGGATGTGTTGCTGACAAGGCTCTTTGTAGGCATTGTTAAAAACTGTCTGGCACTGACTGTCCAGCTGCACAAACGCGATAACATGCAAACACAAGTGTTTACAGCATCTGTTCCACTGGGGGAAATTCAAACTTCCATCTTAAATGAGTGAGAAGTTGGAATTCACTTATGTTTTCATTCGATTTTTTTCTTCTTCTTGTTTATTCACAACGTCTTCTGTCCAGGACTGAGCGTGGGCAACATGTTCTACGTGTTCTCCGACGAGGGCATCACTGTTCTCCAGCCCAGTGAATGTGAGATACGGAGACACATAAAGCAAACGGAGAGGATTGTCGCTACTTATGTAAGTATGGTTTAAATACATACTGAGTGGTTAACAATCGAAAGTTACTTTTTTCCCAACATGCACTGGTCATTTGAACAGTTTTGGTTTTGTAACCAACTCCAGGCCAGACAAAACATTTTTTAATTTTTTTATTAAGTTCTACCCCCAAAGACACAGTTATATTTTGTAATTTGGGTATTTCCCAATGAACGAGGTAGCTTTCTTTTTTTCTCTTTTTTTTTCTTGGTGGCAGCTTCCTGTTTGTATAACACAGGTTTTTTTCTCTTTTTTTTTCTTGGTGGCAAGACCCCAGTCTGTTAATTAGCAGGATTGTGACCTGATGGTCAAGTTGTAGAAATGCCTTCTCTATTGACTTTCATCTGGTTAATTATAAACAACTTTGCTTCAAATTTTTACTTTCTGTGTAATTAATTGCTTGCGTGACAGTATTTTCAATTAATTTATTTATATATATTTTTTAAAATAACAATATTTTTTGCTGTAGTGGTGAAATAAAAATATGAGATAACAACGGTCGTAGATTAGTTTGATAGTCAGTGAACCCAACAATGTCTAATCTACCTTCTACCATAATAACAGGAAATGCAATTATACATAGAGTTAAGTTTAAAGAATCTTTTTTCCTCCTTTACTTAACGGCGTTTCAGTGCAAGGGTTCTTCTTAGACTAAGGCCGTTCTAGCTTCCTTTAACACATCACCTCATCTTTTTCTCACCTCACTAATTAAAATGTGATTACTTGTTTCCATTAATTAGCATTTTGGGCCAATGGACTGTTTAGAGTCTATCTTACTAAGGCTTGCAGTCCACTGGAGAGCATCACTATCCACGAGCAATGGGCTCTAGTTGGAAAAAGTTTCTTTTTCGCCCTCTCTGTCTGTTTTGGTTTTCTCCTATAATTGTATTAGAGATCAATAGAAACTCGATGAGCCATGTGTGAGACAGCTTCTGCTGTAAACAGCAGATTTAACACTTTGGGGAGCTGGAGAAAAGATGGAGTCTCTAAAATCGCAGCCTGTGTGGATGTGTTCTTTAGTCGGTACATATATACGGTGAAGCTGATATATGTACAGGTGTGAGTAAAGTGTTGACTCAGCAGAGACGGAGGGCTGCTGCATCTGTAGAGGTGATGTGTGTACTTCACTAAGGGCTGCGGATTTACACCGGGGCAGAGGGATCTGGAGTTACTAATGTAAAAGTATATGGAATGTTATCATGAGTTAGGCGTCTGCTGACGAATGTCCACGGGTTAAAAACAAATTAATGGACAATTTAGTTTCATGTTAAGTAGCTTTTTAATTTTTTTTTACCTTTCAGTGTTTTAAAGTTTAGTTTTGAAATGTTGATTTTAACGTTAACACATTACATGATATCTATCATGTACATAAAAGACATAATGGATGGATGGACGATAGATGTACGGATAGATGGACAGATAGATAGAACTTTATTAATCCCTTTATTAATACCCTTCATAAAATGTAAATTAAAATGTATTTTTTAACTGCATTTATATATATATATACATATATATATATATAAACTGTAAATTCTCCACAGTGAAGTGACGATGGAGTAAAAGTAACACTGAGTTTCTCATCAGTGACACAACAGTAAACCCTGCCAACCTTTTTCCTCCCTGTGTCGCCTCCGCCCCTCCTCTTCCTGCACCTTCATCTCCTTCTCCCCTCCTCCTCTCTGCCTGGTGTTACCTCCCCCCAGGAGGAGATGTGCCCTAAAGGTGAAGGGGTGTCACCCCAGCACTGCGTGTGGTCGTCAGCGGTCAACGTCCGGGACAAATACATCTATGTGACTCAGCCGCTCCAGAGTCGCCTGCTGGTGGTTGATATTCAGGCACAGAAGGTGGTGCAGGTAGGTGGAGTTCACTTGTCACAACACAGTCAGGAGTTCTTCATCTGTGAGTTTGAAAAAAAGAAAAAAAAAAACCTTTGTTTGAAGCCCTTGCATATTAAAGTAAGGTGTTCCTTACTTTGTGCTGAATAATCAAAGTAGGTCGTGAGCACATTCAGTTACTGTACATCTCTTTCTTTTTTTTGTTATATTTGTACCTATACTTTTTTTTCCTGGGGAAGCAGAGCAGGCTGTCCCATTAAAGCAGATTTGGAGTTTTGTCCCCTATTCCTCTCCTCTCCCTCCTGTCACGGTGACCTCACAGGAGACAGTGAACCCCAATTTGCCTCCCCAAACGTCAGGCCTTGTGTTCCGTGACTGCCTGTAAATGCCATGGTGGAGAGCACCTTGGATAAAAGTGAAATATAAATGCGGTCCATTTATCATTCAATATTTTATTAAACAGCCACTGCCCGAATTTAGCTTAGCTCCCATAACCAGGCGTCGCCGGCCTGTCAGAACTCGAATTTCTCAGCATGATGAAGCAACGTGTGCAGAGTTGAAGAAGGAGCGCTGCACCGCATATAAAGATTTTGGAGAATTTAATCATAAGTTGGGCCCCCGTGTTAGTTTATTAGACATATCACTTCTGTGTACTCCTGTAGGGACTATACAGTGCGTTATGAGAACTGTGTATTATTTCCTTGCCGACTCTTAGCTACTATCTCTACTGGGTTTACAGTGCAGCTACATTTGCCGTATATTGGATTTTTTTTGGAACTTTACACCCATTCAACCAGTGCAATTTTTTTGTGCTACATTTACACATTTGTTGGTCCACAGTTTTTCTCGGTGGGAGTGCGCACGCAACAGTGTAACTCATCAATCAAGTATATTGTTTCCTGTAGTGTTGCATCCAACTTGTCTCCAACAGCAATGAAAAGGAAACCAGCTCACTCTTACAAATTCACAGTCGAGGCCAACAAGGAGCTGGTAAATTGCTTGGTACAGTTGTTTTATAAAGTACATCAGATCAATACACCTCTTTACTGCCAGTGTCTTGCCGCATGTCAAAGTGAATGAACAAAGTGCGCTGCAATTAAGTCAACTCGCTAAATACTGAAAACTTGCCAACCAGGCGAGTTGATCATACATACTGTACGTGAGGTGAAATAAATCAAACGCACCTCAAGCGTCTGAAATAGCAGGGTGTCCAGGTGGGTGCAGCAGCCTCGCCATTCATCTTACCTGTAATGGCTGTTTAGAGAGCAAACCCCTGAGGGTCTTTCCCAGGGTCAGCATCATTTATACAGTGATACAGGAGGAGAGGAAATAGGTCTAAGTCAAGGAGAAGGAGGAGATAGTAGAGGAGAAGGTTGATGATTGATGGTTTAACCAGCAGGGCGGAAACATCAATCCAAACCTGTTAGACTTTATACAAAAATTGACAAACCAAAACAAAGTTATTTCCCATTTGAAAATAATTTAGGATAAAATGTATGAGTTTTTTTTCTTTTTTTCATTACAGCCATTGTTGTTTTCCAAACACCCAAAGCTCAGATATGTGACCTCAGGTCAGGTATTGAGGTATTGGAGAAGAACTTCTCCTTTCATCCCCTTTACAACAGTCTAAATTGCTTTCTTTTCGTGATTCCTCTTCCATCCTCTTACTCACTCCCCTCTATCTTTCCTGAAGACCCTCCGTGGTCTCTGGGGTTCAGGAGGTTAAGGCAACATCCTATTTTTCTTTGTTCTTTTTTTCTCTCAATTTTCTCAAGCCTCTCCGTTTTTAACCGAGCACAAAGGACTATAGGCACTCTTCACAATAGTGGATGACACTCAAGAACAAACAAAAGCACGCTCACACAGAACATGTATATTATCAAAGCGCTCAAAAAACATGTCTTCATCCGAGGGGTTTGCTTTTGTCTTTTGTGTGTTAAGACATTAAAGGGAGACAAACCACCACACCGTGTTAAGACATTAAAGGGAGACAAACCTGTATAAAAACAAACACCCTCCTCTTTCCACCAGACTAGCTTATTTCGCAGTAGCTTCACTAAATCACCACCATCACTTCCTGTTCTCATGGATTCTCTTCCTGTGACCTCCTCATTGACCTTTCAGACTTTA